GCGCAGGCACGCAGGCACGCACGCAGGCACGCACGCAGGCACGCACGCAGGCACGCAGGCACGCAGGCACGCAGGCGCGCAGGCACGCGCAGGCGCGCAGGCACGCAGGCACGCAGGCACGCAGGCGCGCAGGCACGCAGGCACGCAGGCGCGCAGGCACGCAGGCACGCAGGCAGGCAGGCCCGCAGGCAGGCACGCACGCACGCAGGCACGCTCGCGCGCACGCACGCAGGCACGCACGCACACACGCACTCACGCACGCAGGCACGCGCGCACGCACGCACGCACGCCCCACGCAGACACGCACGCAGACACGCACACACGCACACACGCACGCACGCACGGCACGGCACGGCGCGGCACGGCACGGCACGCCGCGGCACGGCACTGCACGGCACGGCACGGCGCGGCACGGCGCGGCACGGCACGGCACGGCACGGCGCGGCACGGCACGGAACGGCACGGCACGGCACCGCGCCGCACCGCACCGCACCGCACCGCACTGCACCGCACCGCACCGCACGCACGCACGCACGCAGAAACACACGCAGACACACACGCAGACACACACACACACACACCCACGCAAAAAGACACACCACACACACACATGTGCGTGCCCACACACGCAAAGACACACACACACACACCCACGCACACGCACTGCGAAGATGCGAGCACAGTCACACGCACACGCGCACGCACACACACACACACACACACGCTGACGTATTATTATATATATATATATATATATTCTATGATATATATATATATAGATAGATCTATTTACACATGAAATCAGTGTTCTGTCGGCGCACTGGGCAAATAGTGATTTGTGACATGGCCCTTCAGCAAAGCGCCAGGAATCGTCAGCCGGTCTCCGAGATCGGGCGTATCTGGCATCTGAATCAATTCGCAGTGCATGGAAACTCTGCTTGTCTTATTCAAGCAGGACGTGTCAACCATGGCCTATATCAGTTTGTCGTCATATTTTCACAAACTGTTTTGTTGTGAGTGAACATGCGCATATCATGACATGTTGTCTACAACTTCAGGCATAACCAGCCTGTTTGCTAGCTCCCGGTTGTTCTCCACTTACTGGTGCTGTGTGCAAGAAACAAATCATTGGTTGCATGCGGATGGAAAGAGAGCCGCCGTGACACCTGTTGACCAAGAGATGCTGTGAGCCAAATGGGAATGTGTCAAAAGAGACGTTCTTTTTTTTGCGCTTCACGGTGGAGACACTCACAGTCTTCAGCTCTTACGGCACGTCGTGTGCGTCCCGAAGCCTCGGAATGGCTGAAAGGCCTTCCCGGCTCTGTCTGTCTAGGCGTGATAATGCATCTGGCCCAGGCCTTCTACCCGAAAAAAGAGAGAGGCGACTGCTCAAGTGCGGGAGAATGGAGAGGGGGAGAGAGAGAAAGAGCGCGAAAGGGTGAGAGGGAGGGGGAGAAGGAAAGTGAAAGGGGGGGAGAGAGAGAGAGACGGAGGAGGAACAGATTTCGGAGAGGGCGGAATGCTCGGCACTAAGAGCCCGTTCAGCTAAAGGGCTCGTAGCCTGATTCTCGGCGAGTAGGAGCAAAATCCTTCGGGCTTTTTTAGGTAACATCCCAGGATCTGCCATTTAACGGCTGATGTTGTTCAAACGACATGTCTTTCGAGGGTACTTTTGTTGTTGTTGTCTGTTTTAAAGGGACACCAAAGGGAAAGTTCCACGACTTTGAGGGTCCCCCAAAACAAGACACCCACATCTCAGATTCGGCACCTTGATTTTGCCTAGAGGGGTCACAAATGGGTTCCAAAAAGGTCTCACTTGAGCACGTCTCAAAGCTATCTCCGCTGAAGCGACCCGCAGCATGAGCTGCTGCGCTGTCCGAGGATCTGCAGACTGCCTTCATTTGTGCCATGTCCGAAGACCTGCTTAATTGGGCTTGGTAGGGATGCTTGTGAACCTCATCGGGGGCGGAAACGGCTAATACCTCCACGTACCCATGTGGCTTGACAAGCGATGGGAGCCATAATTTCAAGCTTGCACATCTTTGGCTTCAGCCATCGATTGTGAACCCTAGGACGCCTAGACTGGCGGCTTTGAGAAGACACTTATGTCCAGGGCCTGTCTCTGGCCTGGTGCTTATGCCAATATGCGTACGTCGCCTCACCTGTGTGCAATGCGTCGCCCATGTGGGACTTTGAAGAGAGCAGCCTTGTTGCGGCACTTTTTCCACATACATGTTCGACATCTATTACTTCCAGGAGCTTGCAACGATGCAATGTTGGTCCGGCCGAGGTGAAGACTTGAACAAGACAGCTGTACGCGAGGCTTGAAGCAGAGCGGCAATGTTGGCCAAGGGTCGCGCACAGTTGCTCCGATCCCGCTAGAGTTGACCAACACCTCAGTGCAGAACGGCTTCATTTCGATTCCTTTGCAACAAAGACCCTTGTTTCTGAGAAGCGTGATTGAGAAGAGGACATTAGCTGAACCCTCAAACCACTTGCTCCTTTCTCGAAGCCATGAGCTGTTTAAGAAGCAGGGCTGTGTGTCAAAAGCATTGATTGGTTCTGTCTTGGCTTCCTTTCGATTTGCCATCCCAACAAACATGGAAGGCGCAGGCATCTTTTGAAAGACTACTCTGTTTGACAGAGGATGTATGCGCTTTCATGTTTCTTGGCGATATTTACCTTTCTGGTGAAAATATAAAGCCCAGCTTTGCTTATCATTTTCCGACCCCCCTACTTATTACCAAGTCGCCCCCCCCTCGCATCCTAGCGGAGTGCCCAAGCCCCAACAAAACGCAACATCGCTTTCCTTCGGGGAGCCCAAACATGGTTGGTTTCCTTGTAGCCTTTCTTTCCAGAAGATAAACTCAGGTGATATCCCCAACAGCATGCGGTGCTTTTTTTCGTACTCGCACTACCCCGCAGCCCTCGCAGAGCCTCGTGGAACCCTGGTGGAACTCTGGTGGAACCCTGGTGGAACCCTGGTGGAACCCTGGTGGAACCCTGGTGGAACCCTGGTGGAACCCTGGTGGAACCCTCGTGGAACCTTACCTCAGGCCCGCCCCGGACAACCTCGGAGCCTATCTGGGCGGCTGAGACCCCAAAGCTTTCAGCTGTTGGGGAAAAAAGGGGTGCCACACAAAGGCAAGGCACACCATTTTTAAAAAGCTGAAAGCTATGAGGTCGAAAGGCCCAGATAGGCTCTGGTTCGGAGCGGCTCCGGGTGGCGTTGCGTTCCCGAAGGGGGCGAAGGGGGTTGCTGTTGGGGATATCGTGAATGGGGCCAGTGACTCCCAGCACTGTGATATATCACTTCTTGCGCGCGCCAGCTGCCCAGCGGCTTGTTGAGATTCCACTTACGCAGGACTTCAAGAGCCATGAGCAATTTGCACACACACCCAGCGCCATGAAGGTGGATGTTCACTTGCCCAATGGAGATGGTTGCTCCATAGAAGTCACACCAGACACGCCCATCAGCGAGCTGAAGGATGCAGCGCAGCAGCACTTCCAGCGCGGCTTGAAGCTCACTGTGAAAGGGCGGCAACTCGATTTGACGGCCACGCTAAGTGAGGCCGGGCTGCGAGATGGAGACGTGGTGACTGCGGTTGTTCAGCTTGGCAAACTGGCTGCCACAGGTGGGGCATTTGCTTTGCATGGCCACGGAGGCGAAGTTGTGACCTGGGGTGATCCAAAATATGGAGGCAAAAGCCCGGTGCAAGAGCAGCTCAACCACATCCACTGCATCCAATCAGCTGTCTGTGGTGCTTTTGCTGCCATTCTTGAGTCTGGGTCTGTTGTGAGCTGGGGTAATGCACGAGTTGGCGGACGCAGCAGCCATGTGCAAGAACAGCTGAGGAACGTTCAGCATATCCAAGCAACACACTTTGCTTTTGCTGCCATTCTTGAAACTGGGGCTGTTGTGACCTGGGGCGGTTCAGCGTACGGCGGAGACAGCAGCCAAGTGCAAGATCAGCTGAGGAACGTCCAGCACATCCAAGGAAGTGACAACGCTTTTGCAGCCATTCTTGAATCCGGGGCTGTTGTGACCTGGGGCGATCCAGCACTTGGCGGAGACAGCACCCAGGTGCAAGATCAGCTGAGGAACGTCCAGCACATCCAAGGAACTGCCCACGCTTTTGCAGCCATTCTTGAATCCGGGGCTGTTGTGACCTGGGGTAATCCGGATTGTGGCGGAGACAGCAGCCTGGTGCAAGAGCAGCTCAGGAACGTGCAGCGCCTCCAAGCAACTGCCTGTGCTTTTGCTGCCATTCTTGAATCTGGGGCTGTTGTGACCTGGGGCGATCCAGCGTACGGCGGAGACAGCAGCCAAGTGCAAGAACAGCTGAGGCATGTCCAGCACATCCAAGCCACTTCTTGTGCTTTTGCAGCCATTCTTCAATCTGGGGCAGTTGTGACCTGGGGCAATCCACAACGTGGCGGAGACAGCAGCCAGGTGCAAGAGCAGCTGAGGAACGTCCAGCACATCCAAGCAAGCCGCGAGGGCGGCTTTGCTGCCATTCTTCAATCTGGGGCGGTTGTGACCTGGGGTCATCCTAGTTACGGCGGTGATTGCGGTGAGGTGCGAGAGCAGCTGAGCTTGAAATTGGCCAAAGAGAGTGCTGACCTTTCCTGAGTGTGAGCTGGGCGAAGGCTTGTGCCTCAAGGTTGTTGCTTGACATCCCTCGGTTTCGCACAAAAATGCAATTGCTTGGACGAAAAGAATGCATCCCTTTGTGGCATGTTTTCCAGCTGATCTGAACCAACCATTTTGGATCGATGGCGATTGGTTTCACGTTTCACTTTTGAACTATTTGATAGGGTGCCCCCTGACGAGTCTCAGGCTCAGGGTTCGCAAGTGGCCTTGCAAAACTAAGCGGCGACTCAGTTTGCGCACACATGGCCGGGCTCCATCAAAACGCTCTCCTCCAGAGCTGGTCTCATAGTGGGAGTCTTGGATGCGCAGTTTTGTTGCCTATCGTTTCAGCCTGTTCATAGGAAGGTTGCGTCGTTTAGCCAGGGTTTTCAAGGCTTCACATGTTTCTAGAGTGAAGAGCAACATGGCAGCTGGACAGCACCGATGGGCTTTGCTGCGAAACCATTCAATATGACGAGTCGGTTGCAGTCTCAGGACTTGCTGTGTGAGAGCAAGTCTTTGATATCACACAACAGACTCCTAGTTTGCATTTGGGGTTAGCACAACGCAATGTTAGCCATGTCACATGCAGTTGTACCCTGAGTGAAGCCTTCAGTGTTTTCAATCTATGAATCTCTCACTTACCGACCCTGTATAAAGGGTATCCTCCCGCAGTCACTGAAAATTGCACGAAACATCGCGCAAGAGGCTCCTGCACCTGGACCTAAGGATCTTGTCATCTTCGTTTTATGCAAAGAGACTGGCAAACCTTCTGCACTGCTCCAGTCAACTTGCGGCGCTCAAGGCAACGCAGGGGCTTTGTGCCATTTGTCATTGGGAGCCCAGGTATGAAAGTCATAACATACCCAACATGGCCAACTCTCCGGAAGCGAAAGGCACCTGAGCACGCCCCGGACGTTTTCCTTTTCGTCTCCTGAGCATCCAACATGGTCCCCCTGCTTTTAATTGACCATGGGTTTGGTTCGATTTGGGGGACCGTGCATGCCGATCATGCTTCCTTCGGTCGTTTCAGCCGTAGGTGGCTTTCCTTCACAACACCCTCAATACAATTCACAATATAAACATATCGACATATACACGCCCCATCATGGCAAGAAGTAGATGATTGTCTTCGATGGCCGAATTAAGCATAGGCACAAGATGACACGTGAGCTGAAGAAAAAACAAGTTTGTTGACAAACTAATTATCAAAGTAAGTTTAGTTGGAAACTTCCGTAATTCGAAAAGTTAAAATAGCAGAGTAGGGTCGTGCAAAGAAAGAGAGAAAGAAAGCAAGAAATACGAAGAAATACAAGGAAGGAGATAGAGACGGAAGGAATTGCGTGGCAGGCGCAG